TCTCCAATGCTAATTTGCCTTGTTTGAGCGGGAAACGTCCCGTCCCCGTCCTCGATCGATCGTCGTCCCGAACGAAATCGACTCGAATCGTATCGAAACGCGCGAGGGCTCGATTCTCGTCTTTCGGTTTATCATCGAATCAACGAATCGTGGAAGCCTGGAAGGTGAGGCGAATTTTTTCCCTTGATACGGGACGGTCACGGATTCCCCTCCTCCCTCGAGAAACTCGATCGTATTTTTACCCCTCCCGTCGTTTTACGAGCTTTTTATGCGAGAACGTACGTACGAAGAGGATTCGGTCGGCTGTAAATAAGGGAATAGGAACCGATTTCGATTACAATCGCGTCGACCTTCGATCTCTCGCCTTTTCTTTTTTTTTTTCGTTTTTATTTTCGCTTTCGAACGTCGAGTTTTCCTTCCGTCCTTCGAAAAAGAAACGTGTCCATTTCACTTCCCTTTATAACCCATTACACTTCAATCCTTTACACTCCAGGCTTGTTTCGCTCGGTCGAACCAGCAACTCCAAACTCGGACTCGGTAGAATTTTTTACAGCTAATTTATAATGATTTCACACACAAATTAAATAGACGCATAAAATTTTTATATTTTATGTATCTATTGCCACGATTGTCAAATTCAAATTAATGTCGAAGGTATCGTTCGACTCACGATCACGGTCTAATTTAAGATAAATAAATAATAATAAATCTATCCATTTAATAATATATTATTCTACACCTCATAAGATTATATAAAGAGTTCAGGAGCTATTTATGAAGCGATATTCTAAAAAAATCAAACAAATAAATATTGTCGCTGTTCAAGTTGCCGCATCAATCCCAGTGATGGAGAGTCATCGTTAGAGCGCAAAGGTTAACACGTTGACTGCCGTATTTCTAATGAAATCTTCTTCAAGCGTCGCTGTATCAAGCGTATTTCTACCGATATTTTAGTAATGCGAATCTGGTCGAAAAAATGATGTTTCGCATCATTTGTTTCCAACATTACTATCCGTGATAGAAGTATCAATAATAATAATTGTATTGACAATAATATTGAATAATAGTACTGATTTAGTATATTTTGGATATTTTAATTTGGATAATTTGGATTATAATTTGGATAATATGACTGTCGAGTGCCCTTCGATTAGTCGTAACAAATATACTTCTTAGTTATGAATTGTATATAAATTATTCGTGCAGCTTGTCTATTAGAGACCAGGATCTCTCACAATGTCACAGCAGGTAATCGTGTTCGATAGTCAGAGCACAATATATTCATAAACTATCCAATTGTCGTATCACTTGTGATACCCCAAAATTAGAAAATTTAGAGAATTATTAGCTGTAAAATTGTTAAGATTATCTGAAAATACAACAAAACCTTGTCAAAACCTTCAACGGAGTCAACATAATATCGTTCAGAAAAATAATTCTGGTATAAATATTAGACTGCATGAAAATTATGTTATTCGGATAAAAGACGATAAACGGATCAAACGCACGAAGGAATTTAAAAAAGACAACAACTTTTTTTGACCAAATTGTCCGAATCAACCTCAGCCTATATAGAATGTTTTAAAATTTTACATTCAAAATCATTTGATAAATTATTTTTTTATTATTTTTTTAACAATTTAATAATTTTATTAAATTACACCCTGCAGTATATCTTTGCAAATACCTATGAAGATCCTTGATAAGTAATCAAATAAGCGTCACCCGAATATGACGCGGCAGTCAACGTTATTAAGACAACGAGGATTATATATTGAAAATTTAATAGTTATTAATGGAATATACTCGATAGATACAAATATTTAGATATTAGAAAGAACAATCTCGAAGATAGTGGCCAAGTTGAGATTGTTGCAAGATTTCTATTTTCGATGGGACAAAAATAGAA